CACTTTGAAAACTTATGTGTATTTTAAAGCAAGGGTGACTCATTGTTTGCTTCTTGACGTTTTTAAATTTCTCCCATGCAAGAGGTAGGGATCAGCCATCACCATCTTGTTTTCATGGTTGGGTTGGTCCATAAATCCTTAACATGCCATGTTTGACTTCTCCAGAATTCTTCATCATTCAATAATGTAGAAACTGGGGACAGGGAAGAACTGGAAATGCCAACATTTGACCAGATGTTTCAACTGTAAACTGCAGTTCAAAATCTGCCTCAAACTGAAAACTGTAGACTGGATGTTGTAGTTCCGTGATGGCGAACCTATGGCATGCATGCCACAGTTGGCACGCAGAGCCATTTGTGCGGGCACGTGAGCCACAGTCAAACTTATCTGTACTGTGCGTGCATGTACCTCCTAGCTGATTTTTGGCCCATTTGAGGGAAGCCTCTGCAGCCTTTGGAGGCCGAAAAACTGGCCTTCTGGAAATACCGTAAGTGCTGAAATGGGCCTGTTTTTCGGCCTCCAAAGGCTGCAGAGGCTTCCATTGAGCCCTTGGGAGGGTGAAAACAGACTCAAACGGGCTCCGGAGGCCCCCTGGAGGCCAAACGGGCTCCGGAGGCCCCCTGGAGGCCCTCTGGAGGCTAATAACAGGCGCTTCTGGTATTTCCAGAAGGCCCGTTTTTCAGGCTGCAGAGGCTTCCCTGTAGCCTCCGGGAGGGCGAAAATGGCCTCAAGTGGGCCAAATATCAGCTGGAAGGTGCGTGCATGTGCAGTGCCGGTAAAGGGGTGGGGCAGGGGTGTTGTGTGCGCATGCACGGGGGGGAGGGGGGCATTGCATTGTGTGTGCTGTTGCGCGCGTACAGCTTTTGGCACACCATAACAAAAAGGTTAGCCATCATTGTTGTAGTTGGTGATAGATGGTGCAGATTCAGGGTCAAAGAAAATGGCTGGTTCCCAGCTGGGAGAACCTGAAGGCCCCAGTCCTGTTCCTCCTGCCCTGAAGGGATATGTCGGCAGTCCTCTTTACAGAGAGTCCCCGACTTAACAAGCACAGCGGAGCTCAAAATTTCCTTTGCTAAGCAAGGCCATCGTTTTGCCCCATTTTATGACCCACTTTCTTGCCACAGTTGTGAAGCACATCACTACGACAGGGTTCCAAGTAATAGACCCATAGAAAGCAAAACTCCGAGGCAGACAAATTCCTCAAAGAATAGCTTTATTGGAGATATCATATTGGCCCAAATCTGGTGAAAACGACTCTGAAGGTTCCCGCAGTTTTCACCTACCGTAATTAAAAGAGAACGTTTTCCCACAACTCCAATCAGTCATTCACATGGTCCAATCAAGGTGCTGTCTGGTTGCCTAGTGACAACACCCCTCCTCTCTCTGACCAGGTGTGAGAATGTTCTTGGTTCCCAAGAGAAAGTATTTCATTTTGGCTACAAGCCCCAGCTATCTCTATTTGCCCCCTCCCTATCCCTCAGCTCCATAGTGGCAACACTGAAGCTCCAAGATAGCTCCGGGTCAGGTCAGCTTCAGGGTTGACACCCTGACGTTGTTAAGAGAAATCACGTAGTTGTTAAGTAAACCCAGCTTCCCCATTGCCTTTGCTTGTTGGAAGCCAGATGGGATGGTTACAAATGGAGATCACCTGAGCCCAGAACAAATGTGGCTGTTGTGAACTGCCTGGATTTTGGTCACGTGACCATGAGGATGCTTGCAATGGTCCTAAATGTGAAAAACTGTCATAAGCACTTTTTTCAGAGCCGCTGTACGGTCACTAGACAGTTGCAAGTCACGGACTACCTCTGTTTACTTTTCTCAGTTGTGTGTTGCCTTTTGAGGAAGCTCTCAGCGACAACACATACAGAAAAGTCTGACCCAGCCTGCACTGCAAGTGTGTGTGTGTGTGTGGTGTTGGTGCTGTACAGCAGAGAAGCTCCTTCCCATCTCTGGCGTGGAATGTGAAGAGAAGCCGGGCCCAAATCCAGGGAGGAGATGCAAACTCAGCAGAACATCCCAACCAGGCCAGCCTGTTCCATTGTCTTCTGGAATGGCACAATCAACATGGTTCCAGGGTGAAAAAAAATGCAACATTTTTTATATCCCAGGACTGAATTCTCTATGTAACAATTGCCTAATTATACTGGAAAACAGGAGATTCCAGGCAGCAATAAGTCCTGATCCATATATCCACATACTGTAGATCAAGGGTCTCCAACCTTGGCAACGTTAAGACTCGTGGACTTCAACTCCCAGAATCAACTCTGGGAGTTGAAGTCCACAAGTCTTAAAGTTGCCAAGGTTGGAGACCCCTGCTGTAGACAATCTCCAAAATCCATTACTAGCCGATGTTGTGATGCGCATGGATGTCTTTCAAACAAAGGAAGGCTGATTTCTGGAAGGTGTTTATGGCCACTGATGGTTATGTTTTTCTTCCAGAATTGGAGGTGGCAGTTGAAGAAGCTGGTGTTAAGAAGGGCCAAAGTGTATTTGCGTTGGTATTTCCTGGAGGGCATCTGATTGGCCTCTGTGACTGGGCCATGCATGAATTTGGACTGATGCCCTGGGGTATGAAATATAGACTACCTCCACAATGGTCTATCCCTGCCTGGCAATGTACTGTCTTAAAAGAGCGGCTAAAAGTCTATACACACCGGATATTGCATCTCTCAAGGCCAAAAACTACAAAGGCAGCAATTACATTCCAACATTTGCATATCAGTGATTGCATGACCTCTGTAGATGTCACACGCTAAATAAATAATGTCGCTGCCCTCAGCCTTTGTTTAGCACTAGGAGGAATTGGTCCATGACGCATGAGAGGACTAATAAAATATATGGGTTTTTAGATAGAATTCAAACAGACATCGAATATTTGGAGAGTTTTCAATTCTGTTGTCCCTGAGATACCATTTAACAGAGGTAATGGAGATGTAGGGCATGGATCCTGACACCCTGTTTCTATAGTAAAATCCTCTGGGAGTTGTTCACAACAACTCTATTTTATCTTATTCCATCTTGTGATTCATGATGAATGTATTTATGATGGCTATGATCATGATCACTTATATCTTTTATGTACACTGAGAACTTATGCACCGAAGACAAATTCCTTGTGTGTCCAATCACGCTTGGCCAATAAAGAATTCTATTCTGTTCTATAAATCAAGTACAATTTCAGTAAGGATTTTTAAAAAAGGCAGTCCCCACAGAAAAGCAAAGTCTTGAGGCACAAAAATAGCCTAAAGCTAAGGCAGAGTCAGAGACCTGCAAAGCAAACATACCGTAGACACGACCAGTCTCGATGCTAATGGTATTTGGGGAAGATACTGCAAAACTGGGGCACCATGGAACTGAAAAGACCCTTCGTATTGAGCCAGGTGCTCCTGCATCTCCTCTGGCCCTTAAGAAGACCCCTGAAAAGCTCCCAGCCAGTTTGGGTGAATGCAAGCGATGGGGGGAGGGGGGAATTCTGTGCTACGAAGAACCGTAACAATCCAATTCTCGTGGAAAAGATGGTCTTGGATTCCGTGCAGTTGGGGGAGCCCTACTGATCTCCCGTTCCAAGTTAGCTGTCCCAGCCCTACTCTGACCTCACTACAATTTGGGAATGATTTTGAAAACTGGTTCCAAATACGATGCCTTGCGGTATTCAAGATAGGGAATTTCCAACACGAGCACCGAAACAATAATACAGTATCCCTGTCCCAGAAGTGCTGTAGCTGAAATTTCCACTTATTCAAGTAAAGGGTTCTCACATCCATCAAGCTCCTACAGATGAGGACAAATCATGAGAGTTTTCTAGATTATGTGCTTGAAGAAGATTATTTTTCAAGAAGTGGGGTCTACAGCCTCCTACAGACTACCATCAGTTATTAGGCAAATAAGCTGTCTACTAAATACTTTCTACTCGAAGTATGAACACAAGTTAAGCCACCTTTCTGAAATTAACCATTCAAAAAATATTTGAACCATCCAAAAGTAGTTCCTATATGGCTTCAACTTACTTAAATTTAAAGGAGAATATTTGTAGCCCAGGTTGAACTGTGGGCTCCTTGGTGCTGCCTGAGCTTGGGTTAACCAAGCTAGTGAGCTCCAAGGACCCACTACTTAATAGCATCAAAAGCTACCGAGAAGCCCAAGGAGAGCTAGCAGGATTAGGTTTCCTCTCTGCGTCCTAGCAACAGTTTCACCCTTGAGACAAAAACATTCAGAAAAGGTGCATCTGGAAAGCCAGTACCGGCTAAGGGGGCCACCAACCTCTTGCCCAAAGAAAAAAATAACAGACGTGAAAGAGAATAAGTTGAAAGATCTACAGGATAAAGAGTTGAAAGAAATATCATCTGATGCTGAAATAACAAAGAAATAACTGTTGAGAATGTAAAGAAATATTGTTGAAATATTGAAAAAATAAAAAAGGGGGAGGAAATTATAAACTAGGGATAACAGTTAGTGGAAATACAGATGATAAGCCAAGAGAATGACCTGGAAAATGATTGTATTCTGGATTTATGAAAGAGGATTGATAAATCCCAGAAGCTTTTAAGATGGGAAAAAGAAAAACGGAAGAGAGGTTGAATTCTGTGACAGCATCTGAATAAAGATCAAGATTGCTAGAAGCAAAAGAAAGGAGTAGAAAGTTGGTTTGTTTGACTAAACTTAAACCAAGACATATTACTGTAAAATTCTGAGAATCTTTATGGACATTTTGCTGTATGAGGACTGAAATAATAATTTATGGGTTTGCGTATGAGTAGGGATAGGATATAGAAAGGAGAGATACTTATTGTGAAGATTGAAAGTCACTGCTTTCTCTTTTTTCATATTTTTTATTTCCTCCTTTCTCTGGCGTTCTCTTTATTTTTCTTGTCTTCTGAGTTTAATTGGTATAGTATTTTATTGTTTTCTTAAAGACTTTCAACAACATTAAAAAGGTAAAAAAGAAAATAATGCTAAGTGTCATAGCAAACTTGATTTGGCCTCTTTTGTCTTGGAGGCAGCTTTCTCTTTTGCAAGAGCATCACGCCCTCCAGGGTTTCCGTGGCTGCAATTCCACCCTTTGCAGATCAGTTGTTACTTCCGTTCAGGTATCCACCTCTCTTGTGAAGAAAGCTCCTCCTTCTCTTCCACCCTCGCGGGAGAATTGCAGAGGGAGGGAACTTGGTCTGGACTTCCTTGGGTGGCCCCTCCGCAAGTACATTGGCCCTCCCGCACAATTCCAAGTTGAGCTGCCCTTTGGACAGTTCTGGGGAAAAGAGACCATGGGAGCTGGGGCAAGTCCGCCGAGGACCCCCTGCTGGCCCAGCATCTGGCATTCCCGTGCAAACACCTGAGACACTTCAGGAGATGAAGTGCACCTTTGCCAGGGCTGAGTAGACGCAGTTGGACAGGTTTGCTGCTGAGCTGGTTTGGCCAGTGCTCTGGAGATGGGAAGCTACTTGTCTGCCTGGGCTTATGTCACTCCAAGGAAGCCCTTTTGGTAAGTCTGCCTTTCCGCTTTTCTTGTCTGCCTAGCAGACCTAATTTGCGAAGAGAGGCAACCATTTGGGAGCCCAGCGACGTCAGTGCCTGGAAGCCCTGCCCTCCATCAGCTGCCCTGCTTAGCGTGGAAGCTGGGTGAAGGGACGATAACTGCAGGGGTCATCCTGTTTCGCTCTGTGGCAGGATTTTCTGTCCATAGGGCAGAGGAAAAGATGTGAAGAGAAGGACCAGGAGAGACAGGATAGCAGTCTTCTAATATTTGAGGGGCTGCCACAGAGAAGGGGTGGGGGCAAGCTATTTTCCAAAGCACCTGAAGGCCAGACAAGGAATAATAATGGATGGGAACTGAACAAGGAGAGATTCAACCTGGAAATAAGGAGACATTTCCTGATAGTGAGAACCATCAACCGATGGAACAGAAGTTACCTCCAGAAGTTGTGGGAGCTTCATCACTGTAAGCTTTGAAGAAGAGACTGGACTGCCATTTGTCAGAAATGGTGTAGGGTCTCCTGCTTGGGTGGGGGATTAGACTGGATGACCTACAAGGTACCTTCCAACTCTTGTTAATCTGTAAATCTGTAAAGTGGAAAGTAATAATTTATTATTGAAGAGGCGGTTGTGAGTTTATACATGGACTCCGTACTTGATTGAACTCAATATGTTATTGGAATATAACACTCATTCATTGTTCCTGGCCTGGATATTAGAGGTTGTGTAAAGATTCTGGCAGTTACTCCAATTACTACCTCCAGTTGGTGGTATGTAGCATTTCTTAATATTAGTGTCCATAAATGCCTCCCTTTGTGTTCCCCATGAGCCCCAGATTGTTAGAAGGTAAAATTTTTTGGTGGGAAACTCTTTTTCTTTCGAAGTGTTTCTAACAACCTGGAAAAAGGATAGAGGTGAGTTTAGATGGTGAAGAGCATTTTTGGTACTGGAGGGGGTGGCAGCGAGCAGTTTTACTAGTTGATTTTGCAGTAACCATTCATTTGTTGTCGATGTTCCCAACATGGCAGCCTTTCAGTGAAGGCAGCTATGTCTTATTCTCCAGATTCTATTCTTGCCTGTCTCAAAATGTGGCCTGCCTTTTGCGAAGGGAAGAATATAAAGAACTTATAAAGAGGTGCTGATGGTCAGAAGCTGTCAATCAGTTACTAAGCAACTGTCAAATTGAATTCATACGATTCCACCACCAAATTAAATTCAGGCTTGACAGCAACCTCAAAAATATCCACTGGTTTTCTTTCGGTGTAGAGTAAGTGTAGAGTACACCAGAAACTGCTGGGGACCTTCTACCGCTGCACCATAGAGAGCATTTTAACTTACTGCACCTCTGTATGATTTGTCAATTGCACAGTGGCAGATAGGAAAGCACTCCAGAGGGTGAACCTCATTGCCCAGAGGATCATGGGTTGCCCTCTCCCCTCTTTGGAAGAGCTTTACAGCCCCCGCTGCCTTAAGAAAGTTCAAAACATTCTCAAAGATCCATCTCATCCTGGGAACCCTTTTTTTGCACTATTACCATCTGGCAGACGGTACAGAATAATAAGAACAAGGAGGCGGAAAAACAGCTGCTATCCCAGGGCAGTAGCTCTTTTGAATTCTGGTGTATATATAGTGCAGTGTTGGTGTGATGTCGGGGGTTTCCGGTTCAATGTGTGAAGGGTGAAGGATGTGTGCTTGTGTTTATTTTCATGCTCACGGTCATGATGTGCACTGAAGATGGTGTTTGATGGTCGTTGTACAAGGTGCAATGACCATAAAGTAAACTAAACTACACTTCGAATCTGGGTTTGGAACTGAACATGCTGTTTTGTCAGTTCGGTGTAGATTGCAAAATACGTAAAGATTTGAATCACTTCATGACATCTTATACTACCCTGTTTCTCCAACAATATGGCCTCCCCCAATAGGAAGTCCCAGCATGTTTTATAGGCATGGAATGAAATTAAGCCCCTCCCCCCAAATTAAGGCCTATATCAAAACATGCGAAATGGGGGGGGAATGGTGGGGGGGGTTGCCGTTAGGAAGTACTTTTGTTGCACACCTGGATATGGTGCTGCCTGCGTTGACCCCGATACGAAGTGCCCCACCAACGCCGAGGTCAACATCCAAGCCATTGCCGCCCGCCCGAAGATGCAAGGGGGGGAATTAAGTCACCCCCCTGAAAAGACGGCCTAGCCATTTTTTCGGGGCTCAAAAAAAAAATAAGACCCGGCCTTATTATATGAGAAACGCGGTAGATGGAAGTGATTTTCTCTTGCATGCAACAATAGAACCTTGTTTTAAAATAAATAAGAATTGTCATTGAGCATAAGGGAAAGTGATACCTGAGGCCCATTTTCAAAACACCTTCCTGGGAAACCTCAGGTAAACTTAGGAAGGCCTGAGCAATGTGATGCCTCCTGGAGTGAATTTGCTATATATTCCAGGAGGAACAGAAAGGAAGAGGTCGGTGGGAGCTCTTTCTGTCCCTTAGACCAGGGGTCTCCAACCTTGGCAACTTTAAGACTTGTGGACTTCAACTCCCAGAGTTCCTCAGCCAGCTTTGCTTTGCTGAACTTTGCTGGCTTGAGGATTTCTGGGTGTTGAAGTCCACAAGTCTTAAAGTTGCCAAGGTTGGAGACCCCTGCCTTAGACAGTGTGGGGCAGGAGAATGATTTTTTTCCCTCAGTGGAAATTCCAAAACTCACTCGGTAGGTACATATACAACATAGAAAACTCTGCCGGTGAACTCCCACATCAAAATGCTTTGGTAGTCAAAGATCACTTTAAAGGCCCTGTTTCCCGCCAAACCTGGATTCCCTGTCCCAGTTCTTGAACCAGCCAGAGTCAAAAACAAAGGCAAAGCGTTTCAGAATGACAGCGGGTCAGATTTCATGTTCAGTTTGCTTGAAGAACGAGTTGGGTGAGTGGAGCTCACATACCTAGTGAGTGAAGACGGTGTGATCTGGCCAGCATTGGCCAGTTTCCTCTCGGGATGAGTCTGTAGCTGCAAGCCAAAATACTCCCTCCCTCCCACCCCAGCTCCCATGGAACAGATTGGCCTTTGCTGCAAAGGAAGTGAATTTGGGGGCAGGAGAAAGACAGTTTCGAAATCTTGCCAAGGATCTGGTGCCAGGAGTGTTTTGTCGCAAAGTGTTCAGAGGGACTGCAAGAGTTTAATTTTTGTTTCCATTCTGGAGTTCTTTGGTCTTTTCTTGCTCAGTAATAACTGTAGAGTTTTCCTGTCTCTTTCCTTGCTGCTCAGGTGTAACTGCAGCTGTTCCGGGGGGGCTTTTAATATAGCAGAGGCTCCAAGCTATTTTCCTCATGGTCCATCTTCCAAATAATGCTTCTTGGTCCACAGCAGATGGAAAGAAACCTTGGTGGTTTCTATGAAGCCTCCTTGCTTTGCCTCTGGTTGGAAGAAGTCAACTCTAGTTTGGGTTTTCTTATTGGATTCTCCTTCATTGTCTCTTTCCCAGGTTGAAGAGATGGGAATAGTTGCAGGCTTTCTCTGTTAAAATCAAGCAGCGTTAAACGGGGATTCAAATTAGTACATAGGGTTTGTCTGTCTACCTGTCTATATCATCTGTATCTATCTATATCCATCTATTTATCTGTCTACGGTATATCTATATCATCTATCAATCATCTATATCATCTATCTAACGTCTATCATCTATCTATATCCATCTGTCTATTTGTCTATCCATCTAATCTACATCCAATCCATCCATCCATCTATCTATCTCTATATCTTCTATCCATTCATCCATCCATCCATCATATTCACTGCCCGTCTCCTTCACCGAGGAATTATGGGTTGTATGTGGAAATAAAATGTTAAAAACATAAAAGCTGAATGTAAAAAGAATTGAAATAGGGCAAGAACGGTGCCCATCGGGTAGCCAGCAAATAAAACCTTCTTTTTTTTTCCCCCACCGCCAGCTGCTCCGAGTGCCAGGACCTCCTCACCAACTGGTACTACGAGAAGGATGCCAAGCTGTACTGCCCCAAGGACTACTGGCGGAAGTTTGGGGAGTCTTGCCACGGCTGCTCGCTGCTGATGACGGGGCCCGTCATGGTAAATCTGACCCTGTGCTCTTCTCCCTTGCCAGGGCCAGCTGGCATCCCAGGGTTTCCCTTCGGGGGAGACGAACGGCCTTCCTTAGCCACAGAGATGGGAATGGGGAGGGTAGATCGACACCTATCCTCCAGCAAGCAGGGGGCTGTCTCCCAGGAAACAGCGGCACGAGGAGGCCTTCGCTCCACCTCAGTCATCCCGTTGTAGCTGTCTCAAAGGTGCCTTTTCAAAAGGCAGCTGGATGGTTGTTTCCTGGAGGAAGAAGAAGAAGAAGACGACCTTCCGCTTTTCATCCAAGCAGCAGCATCAGTTGTGACTGGATGGGGCAGGGAGGCAAGGAGAGATAGATTCTGGCAGGATGGGTGTGGGGAAGGATTGGATTGTTAGCGCTCTCCCTCCCTCCCTCCCTCCCTGTCTCCCTTTCCCTCCCTGTCTCCCTCCCTCCCTCCCTCTCTCTCTCTGAGCCGTTGAGGCCACTTGGGGGGTTGGGTCACCTGAATCACTGAACCCTAACCTTCTCAACACTCAATTATAAAACCCCAGATTGCTTCATTTTTTGAGTTACAGCTTGAAAATGCTTGGCCCTTTCAAGGGTTGGGTGCCATATTGGAGGAAGGGACACTTGGGGGTCAAGTAGTTGCACATTCATTTCATCCCTTAAGCTACTGTTTCTCAACCCTGACAATGTTAAGATGTGTGGACTTCAACTCCCAGAATTCCTCAGCCTTAAGCCCACCCATTAAAAGCCAGAAGGGTTACTGGGCTGGAATAATGGTTTTTAGTGTCCTGGAATCAGATTTCCTATTTGGCTGTGGGTGGAGGACCCCTCTGGAGGGAAGCATGAAGTCAGGGAGCATGGCAAAGTGGAGTCACCTGCAGGGTGGGGTGTGTGTGGCATATGTTATGTTTTCCTAGGTTTGGGAAAACCTTTAATAGCAATAGCACCTAGACTTATACACCACTTTCACAGCCCTCTCTGAGCGGTTTACAGAGTCAGCCTCTTGCCCCCCAACAATCTGGCTCCTCATTTTACCCACCTGGGAAGGACGGAAGGCTGAGTCAATCTTGAGCCTGGCGGGATTTGAACTGCCAAATTGCAGGCAGCAGCAGGCAGCAGAAGGAGCCTGCAGTACCGCACTCTCACCACTGCTAATCTCATCTGAGGGATTTAGCTATTGCCTCCTGTCTCAAAAGTGGTGAGAAACAGCCCATTTCAGGCTTAGGGGACCCAGGGGCCTGAATTCACGGAGGACACTGGCTGAGGGCTGAAACCTGGTGGTGGCCCCACCAGGGTGACCTCCTGGGCCTGGGGGGGGGAGGGGAGCCAGAGTTTGCTTCCATGCTGGCCCGGTGGGTTGAGACCACTCTCTCGTGTTTGGGGGCAAGCTGCAGTAGGGAGGAAGCCCTCCTCACTCTACCTATAGCAGGTAGATGCTTTAGCTGGGGTTTTCTCCTTTCTTTTTTCAAAGTGGCTGGGACCTGTGCAGCAATTTTAGGCAGTTGAGAGATGGGGTGGGGGGGGTTCTGGCCTCTCCTGGCTTTCTAGCTTTGCTTTGGTCCTGGGATCGAGGGCAGCGTCTCTGCTGCCTTCCAAAGGGCACCTCCTGGAGACCCAGTAAGGCAAACCAAGAGATGCCGCCGAGGACAGACCTGTAGGTCAGATGACTTTACCGCTTCCCTCCCGGATCCTAGCAATCCATAGGAGGTTATTTAGTGAGCAAGAAGTCTCATTAAAACCAAGCAGACCCTTCTGAATATTGTAGAATTTGGGGGAAAAAGGGAGAAGATTAGATTGAATTAAGACAAATGGATGATGAAAGAATGATAAACAACATATAGATTAAAGGTTGACATTCGCATAAACGGTATTTACATTTGTAAATAAGCACAAAATAGAAGATTGTGAGATAGATGTCACATACTGTGAATGTCATAATATGTATATTTTTTGGTTCGGTTTTTAAAGATGTAAAAGATTAATAACGTTTATTAACAAACAACCGCCAGGCTTTGCAAGGTATTTTCCCCCAGACAGCCCCTTCCTGGAATCACACCCCTCCCCCTCCGGTCCATAGTTCCTGTGCTGGCTTGTCAACCCGGCCTCTTTTCCCAAACAGCCGCCACTGCCGCCGCCCTGAGGTTTAGCTCCTCGCTTCCTGCTCTCTGTTGGGATGGCCCCTCTGCCTTAGCTCAGCCTCTCCTTGCCAGCTGCCTTCCAGCCCCACCACGGAGAGCCAGAGTTTTACCGGGGGGTCCCAACTGGCCCCTTGCTCTCTTCCCCCCTGGAGCCATCTCCCCCACCGCCTGCTCTGTGCAAGAAGTGCGCAAGGAGTCACTGATCCTGAGACATCTCTGGGATTTTAGACCGTGACAAAATTCTGGCTCGGCTGCAACTGCCGATTGCAATTGAGGAACAGGGCAAAACCCACCATTGGGGTTGGATGCTAGTCTCTCTAGAGCAGGGGTGTTAAACTCAAGGCCCGCAGGGCAGGTGCTTAAATCCGGCCCATGGGGCCAGCCTGGGAATACCAAAGGACCAGCCCACGGTGCCTCTGCTGGCCAAAACAGGCTGCGTACAGCCCCCCCTCCCCCCCTGTGGCCTGTTTTTAGCCTCCTCAGCCTCCAACAGTACTCTGCTGGCCAAAAACGGGCCACGAGGAGGCCTCCACGCAGCCATTTTTTGCCGACAAAGTGCTGCTGGAGACTGGGGAGGCTAAAAACAGGCTGTGCAGGGGCCTTGGGAGGCCTCTGCAGCCCATTTTTGGCTGGCAGAGTGCTGTTGTAATCTGGGGAGGGCAAAAATGAGGCGCAGGGGGCTGCACGTGGCCCCCCACACCTCATTTTGGATGGTAAAGTGCTGCAGGAGGCGTCCATCCTGTCTCCCCCAATTCCCCACCCTTGCCAGCCCGTGGAGAACTACAGTGCTGATCCGGCCCTCAAAGAAATCCAGTTTTGACATCCTTGGTCTACAACGGGGGTCTCCATCCTTGGCCACTTTAAGACTTGTGGAATTCAACTCCCAGAGTTCCTCAACCAGCAAAGCTGGGAGTTGAAGTTCACAAGCAAAGCTGGCTGAGGGATTCCGGGAGTTGAAGTCCACAAGTCTTAAAGTGGCCCAGGCTGGAGATCCCTGGTCTACAGTATCCTCACTTTTCTTCCTAACCATCCTGCACGTCCCATTTCTTGGCAGGTGGCTGGGGAGTACAAGTACCACCCGGAGTGCTTTGCCTGCATGCAGTGCAAAGCAATCATTGAAGATGGTGACTCCTACGCTTTGGTGCAGCACTCGGCTCTCTACTGGTATGGAGAAGCAGCAACGCTCAGCCGTGGGTTTGGGTGGCTCTCTGGGACCAGGAAAGTCTTCTGCTCTGCACTTGGGAGAATGGCAGGGAACGTGTGTGTGCTTCCCTGCTTGCATTACCCGGGTGGGGGGCAGGGAACCCGAGAGCTCGTTCAGGCCCTCAACCAACTCTGGTTGGGCATCAGCAGCATGGAGAGTCAAGTGGATCTTCAGGGCACCAAGTAAGGAGAGGCTGCACTGGGGATGGTTCTGCTTTCCCACTCTTCATATCCACATGCCAGGGCCTGGGATTTGGGATCAGGAATCTGGAGATGTGTTCTGTTTGTAAGAGACGGGGGTTGATCCCTTGGCCAGCCGCCTTGAAGTGGTCACGCCACCCAGATCCCTTAGTGGCCTCACTAAGGGGGAAGCTTGGAAGGCAGACGGCAGTCCCCATGTTGTCTTGGAATTCCTTTGAGACCAAGTGGAACACGGTCAGCCCAGCTTCCCCTTGGACCCATAGCCTTGGAATCTGGATGCTTTCCCTCTTCCTGACCACCGTGGTTCTACATGGGGAGGTAACCCTGAGGGCAAAGAGGGAACGTTGGAAGCTGTCTGAATGTAGGCCTTGTCTTTGCAACCAGCAGCATCGTAGGGAAGGTAGATGGGCAGCTTCCTAGCGGGCAGCCTGGGCACGGAAAGCACACACAGCCTTTTCCGTCTAAACTAACAGCTGAATCGCCTTCTCCTTTTTCAGTGGCAAATGCCATAACCAGTTTGTGCTGACACCAATGCTCGAACGACTGTCAGCAGAGCCTCTGTGCGAGCAGCTGCCGTATACCTTGACGCTCCTCTCCATGCCTGCACCCACCGATGGCACAAGGGGGTTCGCTGTGGCTGTGGAAGGGGGCTGCTCCCCCTATGCTGCTACCGTGGAAGTGAAGGAGTGAGTATGAAGCTCTCGCAGCTGAGAAACGCCTGGGGTTTTCCTCGGCTCCAAGCGCCAAGAGATCGAAATTAATAGCATGGTGCGGCTTTGCATTTTCATTCAAGCTTCTGGCATGATGCCTGTGGCTCCTGTCGCCTTGAGCGATGGCCTTCATTGCAAAAGCAGCCCCCTTTGATCCCCTCAGTGGCACTAATGCCATTCATTTCCTGTTCTTCCAAAAGGATCCCAATACAATGCACTTGCAACACATTGCCTTTGTTAATGGATAAGGTGTCTATTCCTTGCCTCACATGTAACCTGCATTTGCATAATCTTTGCCTCACCCCAGTTTCAGTCTTGCATCAGAGGAGGAACAGCCGACAGGGAGTGGGAGTGTGGCTCCGGAGGTTGTGGAGGAAATTGGGGAAGGGCACAGGCTGGCTGGGCATTCAGAGGAAGACCCAGGCCCATCCCCTCTTCATCCTAGGGCATGCAGGGAGAAACGTGAATGGCGTGGTCTATGGGGGAGGAAAGGGCCCTGATCCCCTTCATGGGATGCAGCTGTGAGGACTGTTTAAAAGGACAAACTGCGCATGAGACAGTGCTGGAAGCAAAGCATGAAAATATTTCTAGTTTGTCAGTTCTTATCTGAGTTCTGGTGTCCTTCCCAGTGTGTGTATTTCAATATCTGTGGACGTCTTCAAGCCCTTATCCTGCCTGGTCTCCTTAATTGCTTCAGTGTGGTTTGTGTTGTTGTTTTTTCTATTTATAATTTATATGTATTTTGAGTTTGAATGGAATTTCTTCCTTTTCGCAACTGTTTGTGGGGGAGTTTTATCTGCAGTCAATGCTAATTGGACTTTGGAGGCCAAGTTGAAGGAATTAAAGGGACTTCACCTATTTATGTGACTTGGTTGCTTTTGTATCCCACCCTGGGTCATCACACCAGCAGATGCAATGCAATCTTGCATCTACCTTTGAGGGGGGGGGGAAATCTTAGTTGGGAGAAGTGATGCCAGACTCCTCCTCACAAAAGACTTTCGAGGTAGAACAGTTTCAAGTGAAAGGGAACAACAACGATCAAGGGATTGCAAAACCTACCACAATTCATTTGCTGCCCATCTCACTGTGGGGCTGCTCTGGGCGGCTTACAAACAATTTAAGGCCAGAGGATGCCCTTCTCTTCCCCCCACCCCGTCTCTCCTCCCATCCCTGCCCTTTTGGCAGCCCCGCACTTCCATCACTGCCCAACCCTGCCACCCCCTCCGCTGTCATCTTCCTCCCAGACCAACTTTATTTGAATGGACACTAATCGGCACACAGGAAAATGAAATTCCGTTGCATGCGGCTCTCAAAGGGTCTCTACCTCCAATATACACTATATAATCATGACTAAATACATAAACACAAAATTATGCATGTAACCACATCTATTATATGACATGGAGAAACAACAGCTCCAGCTGAAGCAACGGCTGGCCCTCCCAGCAGCAGTGATGGGTGGGAGGGAGGGAGAAGATAAGGTCAGCTGGGGGTGGCAGGGGTAGGTGGGGATGGAGTGTGGAGTGTCTCCAAAGACAGGGAGAGAGGTAGGCCAGTAGCGGGGGGCCTCGGAAGCCCACCCTCCGGTTATAATAAGGACAGCGGGCACCCAAAGGTTGATCCTGCGTTTCCAGGGGCCCTGCAACAGCCATCACTGAGGGCTGCTCCTAACCACCATTCGTTCATCACTGTTGCAACTGTCACTGAATTCTAATTCAAACCTTTATTGTCAGAGTGCAGCGAGATTGGCTGAGACAGAAAACCCCCAATCCAATGAATCCCACTGAGAAAACACACAGTTCCTACTGCACCATGTGACCTTGTTGCACAATGCGCCGGCCGCGCAAGTCTGTCCTACTAGGTTGACACGAAGTTATTTTCCATTCAGGAGTCTGACAGTAGAAGCTGTTCTTCAGCCTGTTGGTGCGAAGGGCTGCCTGTGCTTCTGTATCTTCTTTCTGATGGTAGGAGAGTGAAGGAGGGCCGACCAGGGTGGGAGTCGTCCCTGAGGATTTTCCTCGCTCTTCTAAGGCAGCGAGCCCCTAGCGAGGTCATCTAGTGGTATCAGGGAACAGCCCACCATGTTCTGTGCTGGGCTCACCACCCTCTATAGTGCCTTTCTATCCGCGGCTGTCGAGCCAGCGTACCACACCGTCATGCAGTGAGTGAGTGAGGAAAAAGGTCATTAAGTGAGGACTGCCTGTGCTTCTTCCTAGGAGGAAATGCTTCCTGGGGCGTCTTCCTCCAGGGGTGGCTTGTGGCATCGCTTGCCCTTTTTTCCTCTCCCCTTTGCTATCTGGTCCCTCATAGAGACTCATGGGGGAGGCAAATCCTTCTGATCTCAAGCCATGTTTTTTCCTCTGGGTTCAGAGTCAACCGAAGGCACATCAGCCCCGATGTCCAAAATGCCATTCACCCTGGGGACAAAATCCTGGAGATCAACGGAAACCCGGTCCGCACACTACAAACTGAAAAGGTGGGTTCTGAACAGCCCTTCTTGTTTCCTGCTGTCTCGTAACGGAGAGGGAACCAGGGGTGGACTGCAACCGGTTTAACAACCGGTTCGGTGAGTGTGTGTTTGGCACGCGTGTGCGCCTAAGGCACTTGCACGCAGCACTGAAAATGGAGCATCTAGATCAAGTCATCTTCAAACTTGGCAAGTTTAAGACTTGTGGACTTCAGCTCCCAGAATTCCCCAGCTAACATGACTGGAGGAGGGATTCTGGGAGCTGAAGTCCACAAGTCTTAAAGCTGTCACATTTGAAGGCTCCTGATTTAGAAGCTCAGCTTCTTACCTTCCAAGTCAGCAACGATAAGTAGAACAGCGAGGGGGGGGGATCAGCTGTGCCGCACGATTGAGATGAGCTAGAAAGCAGGAAATAAAGGGCAGGATAGGTCAGGTGGGCGGGACCAGCTGATTGTTGGAACTACCGCTTCGCCCGAACCTGTCCAAACTGGCAGCAGCCCAGCGCCGGAGGGAACGCAGGGCCTCTTGGGGGCAGGAGCTGGGTTTTGGAGCTCCCGCCAAGTTCTCAGCCTCTCTAAGTAATTGTGAAGGACCTTCTTTCCTCTGAAAACAGAGAGAGAGAGAGCAAAGAGACGAGCAGGCTGGCTGGCTGAAGGGCCTTGCGGGAATTGCCTTATGCTTCAGAACAGGGGTCTCCAACGTGGGCCACTTTAAGACCTGTGGACTTCAACTCCCAGAATTCTCCAGCCAGCAAAGGCACTTCTTCC